AGAGAAGCTGTGGCTGCCCCATCCCTGGCAGTGTTCAAGGCCAGGTTGGACACAGGGGCTTGGAGCAACCTGCTCTAGTGGAAGGTGTCCCTGCTCACTGCAGGGGGTTGGGCTCAATGAGCTTTGAAGGTCCCTTCCAACCCAAACTGTTCTGTGACTATATCATTCTATGAAACAGTGTTTCCAGTCCCGGGCTCTGTACTAATGATGTGAGTGAGGACAGTTTGCCATGTAACATTGTGAACATGAGGAAGAGCAGTGCTGACAGTTGAAAGAAAAAATTCAAATCCCTGAACACAAACCACATCCCAAAATAAGCTTCCCCACCCTCTCTGGCATCTCATCACAATTGTTTTTACAAGGATTTCTGTTTACAGCTGCAATTGTTTTGTAAAAATACTATTTTGTTCAAGCTCAGGATGGAAACAAATTTTGGTGTAACTGTTTCTGGTCAGAAACTCCATTTTGGACCGATCTAATCCTCTCTTGACAGCTTATCACCAGGCTCAAAGCAAAGGCCAGTAGCTTTTTGCTTCCTTGTTTGTGAGGCTCAGCATTTACCCACTCCAGAGGATATTCCCAAGCGCAGGAATACGCAGCTCTCAGCCCTGCCAGCACATCTCCTTGGCCAGGTCCCACTCCAGCAGCTCCACGTCCCTCTGGTGCTGTTCCCCAGAGCTGGGTCAGGGCTGCAGGGGGGGCGTCCCCAGAGTGCAGCAGAGAGGCAGAATCCCCTCCCTGAGCTGTTCCCCCTCCTCTGCCCATGCTGGGAAGCCTGTGCCTGCCGTAGCACGGTGGTGTCATCCCTCACCTCCTGTGAGAACAGGGGGCTGCTGAACAGAAGCTTTTGCCCTGGCAGGGCCATGCCCCATTGCCTCTGGAGCTGCAGCAATCCCACTCCCCAAGCCCCCAGGCTGCCTCCATGGGTCGCAATGGTGGGAGGGAGAATGTTTTACTTGTTACACAGAAAAATACATCAAGTCAAATTTCTCTCTGAATTATTGTAGTCTCTTGTTCCCCGCTCCCTAAACGCATTGCCATGATATCCTGCTTTGCCATCTCACACAGCAATAAATCTCCCATTGAGATTTACATGCTGGGAAAAGTGGGGGTTTAAGATTACTGCCTGAGGTGTGTTTCGTTTGGGAGAAACAAATCCTGCAGTGATGTTCTCTGCAAGCTTCCCAAGGAGCACACTGAAGTTTGATTTATGCCACCATCCTCCACTGAAAGATATTCTCAGGGTCTGCTTCCAGGATGGATTTGTCAAAAAAAAAAAAAAAAAGAAAAAAAGGAAAAAATGGTGTAAATCCTGATAAAGACCCGCAAAAGGTGGCAGAGAAGCCAGTGACCTGAAGGCCAGATACAAAGAGAGAAGCGATGGCAATGCTGGACTGGCACTGCCAGGAGGCCGGCTCCAAATCCCTGTGAAAACAGTGTATCGTGCAGTGACTGCGCAGACACCCCCATGGACATGGATAACCTCAGCTCTAGAGAGTGGAGAAAAATCACTTCAGCTGTCACAAAAAACGATTTAACTCTTAAAACTGAACAGCCAAGCAGCTTTTGTCAGTGACAGCTCCATACACAGCTGGGCGTTCAGGCAGGAAGCCTCAGCACAGAATTCATCCATGATGTATGCTGATTTCCTAACATACGCTAGCACCTTACAACAGCTTAATAAAAGCCAGATTGACTGTAAAAGCACGCTTTGTATTGCTGATGTACAAAATAAGAATGATTTTAACTCTCCGCTTTTCTGCTGCTTGTTTTTGTCTTGGTTTGTTCTTCTTGTTCCACAATATACTTGAAGGGACTATTTAAAGCAGGACGGGTGGTTTGTGTGTGTTACGGTCAGGGAACGACAGCACACTGTGACCTGGCATCCTGTGCTGGTGCACGTGCTGAACAAGCCTGCAGGGATGGTTAGTACCTAGCCTGAGTTAGAGCTAAGCAAAGAAAGGAGTGGAACAATCAGGCCAGGACAAGAGTTCTTGGTTAACGGCTCTTGAAAAGAGTGTCAAAGACGGGGCGTTCTCTGTGCCCTTTCAATGGGCCTTGAGTGTCCTCTGGTCAAACCCCGTTTTGTGGGGCTGGCAGGAGTGGGGCTTGAGCGTGTTTGCTGAGAACAGGCTGTTTCACGGCCAGGGCCGGCGCTTCCCGGCGCACCCTGCAGCCCTACTTGTCGCATCATCCAGCTCCACGAGAGGTTTGTGTTTGTTTTCCTTACACCCACGCTCTGGTTTCCTCCCTGCTTTGTTTCCAATGCAGTCGCTCCCCCACAAGACCTGCAGATCACTGATCCTGGCCTCCTGGGTTCTCTCGATATAGAGTGGAAACCTCCACCCAATGGAGACACCTTCAAGGAATGTACAGTAAAATACAGGTTTGAATACCACAGCGCTGGGGACAGAGACTGGAAGGTGAGACAAAGCACAGTTTAATCCTCTTAAACCCAGGGTGTTGTTGTGCCTTTAGGTCCTGTGTAAGTTTCTGTTTGCATTTTGAGGAGCAGCGCTACCAAAGCAGCCCCAGCTTTCCATGAAAAAGACAGAACTGTTCCAGTGGTTTGAATCTTCTGCCAGATGGGAATGTGTTTTGAAATGCAGTCAGAGAAGGGGCTATTTCTGTCAGGGTGTGGTGCTCGCTGCCAAAATTGTCCAGTAATATCCTGTAGCATCCCTCATTGTAAAAGTCACAACGGTTTCTAGAAAGTCTTTCGAGGGCTTAACCCAAAACTTGGTGTCAGCAGATCCTTATGGGTGCAAAGTGGTGAATACATAAAAGATTAGATTTCATTAATTGTCCTAATGCTCTAACGTTCCCTTTATCCCGGGATACTGTTGACCCTAACTCAGGTCTATGATAAAATGGTCTCTCGATGTGCAGCAGGGCAATAGCAGACAGGGACAGCACAGGAAGAGTGTAGGAATATGTTTTGGGAGTTCTTAGATGATGGAAGCTGCTGCGTGGTTATGAAGGTAAATGGATTTAGGGTGAGGAGAAACCCAGCAGTAGGCTGTTTGGTTGGTGAAAGGGAACCACTGGAGAGGGGCTTTGGACAAGGGCCTGTAGGGACAGGACAAGGGCAATGGCTTGAACCTGCCAGAGGGGAGATTGAGCTGAGCTCTTGGGCAGAAGCTCTTCCCTGTGAGGGTGCTGAGGCGCTGGCACAGGGTGCCCAGAGAAGCTGTGGCTGCCCCATCCCTGGCAGTGTTCAAGGCCAGGTTGGACACAGGGGCTTGGAGCAACCTGCTCTAGTGGAAGGTGTCCCTGCCCATGGCAGGGGTTGGAGCTGGAGGAGCTTTAAGGTCCCTTCCAACACAAACCAGGCTGGGATTTCATGATTCTATGAAATGAGTTTTGGCCCACCCATTCCATGGGAGCCTGCAGGGGTGGAATTGCACAGTGCCTCCCACCCTCTTTCAGCCACAGATTGTAATTGTGAGGGCATGGAAAAGGGCTCTTTGACCTGACATCAGTTATGATGCATATCAAACTCGCTCATGCAGCTGTGCAGATTCTTCTATGATGATCTCAAATGGCATTTAAAAAGCACAAAGGAAAGCAAATGCAGTTCTAATAAACATGTCAGAGTTCCCTAAACTGCAAGTAATAAAAGTTTCTTATACAAAGCAGATCCAAAAAGTAGGACCCCCCCACACACACACACACCTCTGATACCTTGCCAAAACCTTAAGCCCTGATAAGATCAAGAAGACTCAGTCTGGGACTGAAGAATACACTGTGGGACTGCTGACTGCGGGCTGTGCCGTTGCAGTTCCTGCTGCAGCACATGTACACATCCTATGGCACGATACTTACGTCCTGCTGGGGCTGATGTGACACCTTCTCTCTCCCAAAAGGGCTCAGCCCAGCAGCACGCAGTGGTGACCCCACCCTGGACATCCAGTGGTATCCTCACCAGACCCCAGCCCTGTGCTCCTGGCTGGTGGGGCCCCCTTGAACCACAGTCTGCTCTGTCTTGTCATTGCTGGTGTCTTGTGGGGTGGAGGGACTCAAAGCCACCAGGGCTGCACACAGCAGTGGTAGAAGTGCTGGAGAAGCACTGGGCAGGAGAAGCCCAACAGAAAGGTAAAGAAACATTAAAGCACACCAATGAGCCTCCTGGAGCGGGAGCAACAGCAGCTAATTCTGCACCCACCCGGTGACAGAAGAGGTGCTGATAAAGTCTGTCTTTCAACCAGGTTATTTTTACTAAGAAGCTAAAAGTCAGAGTTGGCTTTGACCTCAGCAGGACTGCTGAAGTGCGGGTCCAGACACTGCTTGAGGGACGGTGTACCGAGGATGTGGAGGTGCAGAGTGACTGGATTTATGCTACCTTTCAGGTCCCACTGCAAGGTGAGGAGCAGCTTTTGGTACCTGGGGCAGTTTGTCATTTTGCATGCGCCTGTTGCACGAACCACTGCTGGCCTGAGGGTTGCGGGGTGGATAAGCCACTGCAGGGCTTGTTATGAGACACCAGAGCATCTTGGCTTCCACTGGCTGTTGCTGTGGATACCTGGGGCTCATCCTCCTCCACCTGTGTCCAAGCTCTGCTGGGCTGCACGACACGAGCTCCATTGCTGAATGGAAAGGTCAGTCTTGGTTCTTCCTGCTCTAAGTCCAGTGAACTGTTTTCTATAGGAAGCAGAGCACTTGGCAGCACAACTAACGATGGTGGGGGCCTCCTTTCTCTTACTTGTCTTTCAGCTGCAGCACACAATTGTTCAAAGAGGTAAAATGATGCTTCTGCTGGGCCTGACTGATACATTGCTGAGTAGTGGGTATTTCCTGCTTGTTTGACAGGAAAACTGGAATCAGAGGTTCAGAATTTCCACTGCATCTACCATGACTGGGACTACCTCAAGTGCACTTGGCAACCTGGTCTCCTCACTCCTCATAGTGTACATTATGGACTATATTATTGGTACGTATGAGCAAGATAGAAGGAACATTCAGACAGAAATCAAGTGAACCTCTCAGAGTTCTAGAATGCCATGGAAAATATGCTTTTATGGCTGGCAGTGCTGTTACATGATCCACCCCGAATGAGCTGAAATAATGCTCCAAGCAACATATTCCTTCTGAAATACTAAATGCCTGCTGACCTTCTACAGGGAATGCCTTCTCCCATCCTCCTTTCCCTTGTATTCACTCCTAAGGAGTGCTTTCTGCATATTGTTCACCACGAAGCCTTGTCCTTTCCCTTTGCTGAATATACCTGGAACATTTTGGCTGCACATTTCCCTTAATCACACCACATATATCCCTACAGGATGGGTGCAGCAGGAGGTTACCAAGCTCAATGAACCGTACAGAAAGAGCAGGGCTTCCTGGCAACTAACGGTTTAATTCTTCAAATAGATCTTCATAGCCTTAGCACATCTCATACAAGCAAACATACTGCCAAAAAGTAGTATTAATGCATGTTTCTCAGTCGTTTCTTTCATACTGCTGCCTTATGACTCTGTTCTGCACAAAAAACAAAGTTAGGCTTAGTGGTTTGGACAAAGTAAATGCTGTACTTGTGCTTCAATTCCTATGACACAAAGATTAAGATGTCTAGTTAAGGAATCATTGGGTTTCCTGTCTTTGCTGCTTTTCAAAAATAGCTTCCAGATAGCTCTTGGATTAGACTTCAGAGCAGAAACACTGATTTTAAACCATTTTCCTGACTACAAAGGTCTGCTTGAAAGAAACCACAGAAATTCTTGATTTGTTCCTAAAAAACCACACCAAACCACAAAAACCTCACCAAACCCACCCTGTTGAAGTGTCTGTAACAAACACAGGCAGGTGGACCTGGGTGCCGTTGTGTGAGGAGGGCGGGTGGGAACACAGCCACTGCATCCCCTGCTCCCTCGAGCCAGCTGAGACAGCGCTGCCACATGGAGTTGTTCCCTGAACACCACGTGCTGTGCAGGGACACTTCCTTAGGTGCAGAGTAGAGACCCAGCCCTGCCTGCAGGGCATGAACCCAGCAGGAGTCTCGAAGGTAGCAGGAAACACCACTTCGGATTTCCAGTCCCTGGTGGGACAATGCCAGTGACTAAGCTATGGGGAGCAGGCTCCAGACAGGAAGCAGTTTGTGGTCGCACAGCAGCTAACAACCAGCAAACTTGGTTCAACAAGGCCAAGTGGAGGGTTCTGCACATGAGTTGGTGCAATCCCCAGTGTCAACACAGGCTGAGGGATGAAGGGATTGAGGGTACCCCTGAGGAGAAGGACTTGGGGGTACTGGTGGATGAAAGACTGGACATGACCCGGCAGTGGGCACTTGTGGCCCAAGCCAACTGTGTCCTGGGCTGCGTCCAATGGCCAGCAGGTCAATGGAGATGATTCTGTCCCTGTATTCTGCTCTGGTGAGACCTCCCTTGCAGTCCTGCATCCAGCTCTGGAGTCCTCAGTACAGAAAAGACATGGACCTGTTGGACAGGGGCCAGAGGAGGGACACAAAAATCACCAGAGGGATGGAGCAACCTGCTCTAGTGGAAGGTGTCCCTGCCCGTGGCAGAGGGTAGGAACTGGATGAGTTTTAAGGTCCCTTCAACCCAAACCAGGCTGGGATTCTAACTCCTTCCTCACTCAACCCATGGGTTTCCATTATGTGCCCCCGCAGGTGCAGGGACCTGCCCACAATCAGCCTTAACAGCTCGTGAACACTCATTACATTCACGGCAGATACCACCTGCCACAGACGCTGCAGTTTGGTTTGGGAGGTGACCTTCCTGCAGCTCCAGAGCTGGTGGTGCTCTATGTGCCCCACAGCAGGACAGATGCCTCCATAGGTAGAGGCCACATCCTGCCCAGGCTCCACTCACACAGTGGCACCTTGTGAGGCCTCTTGTGCTCCAAGAGACTGACACAACCTACAAACCAACCTGGGAAGCAGGATTGCAGGTGACCAGTGCACAACACTGTGCTTTGGATCACTTGTGGAAGGCAAGGGGTAGGTAGGATATAAACAATACACTCGGGGCTCAGGCCTTACCCAAGCAGTAAGTGCCAGGCTCTGGTTATTTTTTCTTTCTCTTTTCCTGCTCCTCCACCAGGTACGAGGGGCTGGACCAAGCGGAGCAGTGTGACAACTATGTTCAGGAGCAGGGTATGAACATCGGCTGCACATTGCAAAACCTCAGCCAGGCAGAATACAAGGATCTGAGCATTTGTGTCAACGGCTCGGCGGCCACGGCGCTGCTCCAGCCCTTCTACGTCACCCTTCGCCTCCACAACCTAGGTAACGCTGGCAGGAGGGCAGCAGGGCGCTGGGAAGGAACTTTGCCTGAGATCTAACCTAAACCTCCCCTGGTTCAGTTTGAACCCTTCACCCCTTGTCCTATCACTCCAGTCCCTGATGAAGGTCCCTCTCCAGCATCCTTGTAGCCCCCTTCAGACCCTGGAAGCTGCTCTGAGGTCTCCAGCAGCTTCTCTTCTCCAGGCTGAACAGCCCCAATGTTCTCAGCCTGTCTCCATACGGGAGCTGCTCCAGCCCCTGACCATCCTTGTGGCCTCCTCTGGACTTGCTCCAGCCGCTCCCTGTCCTTCTTATGTTGGGGACACCAGAACTGAATGTAGTGCTGCAAGGGGGGTCTGCTTGCCAGCTGGCAGAGCAGCTATGGGTTTCTTGGCTCTAATAGCACCAGCACAGAGCTGGTTTCATGTACTCGTGCTGGAACTGAAACCCCTGCTCTGCTCCTGCAAGCACAAGAGAGATCATTTGGTTCACCGTTCAAACCAAGCTAAGGGCTGGGGAGAATTCAGTGCAAAGTGTGATGGGATCTGCCAGAGAAAAGGTGTATTTCAAACCCACCAGAGACAGGGAAAGGAAGGAGAGCACAGCATGATGTATCACCCAACACAGACTCGCTCTTTATAATGGTCTCTTACCACGTTGGTGCATTTACTTATTGAGGGATAACTATCTAGTCCCTCCAGCTAAGGAGGATTTCTGGATTCAATTAGTGCTGCCATGTGCTTCATGTGTGGCTGTGGGCGTCTGACATAAACCAGAGCCTCTCCTGGGATGCAGAGAGTGTTCTGCTACAGAGGCCGGGCAGTGCGGTGAGCACTGTGCTCATACCGCAGCATTCCAACCCCTCATCACAGCCCTGCACAAGGACCTAGCCCAGCACACGCATCAAGGTAAAATAACCAACCCACCCTCCGGCCCCAGCGACATCCCGCTCCTGCAGCACTGTGGCTGATGGGGATGGGAGCCCAGAAATCCCACCGAGGAGGAGAAGGGGCAGAGGTTGTTGGTGATTAACTGGAGACGTTTGATTGCACCTCTTGCCCTGCTTTCTTTCTGTTCTCCCTAGCGAAGCCCTCACCCCCGAAGCAGCTGGTGGTTTCCATGCGTGCACCTGAGGAGCTCTATGTGGCGTGGACCCCCCCAAGTGGCAAAACACCACCCCAGTGCCTGGAGTACGAGGTTCAGCTGGCAGAAGATGACGGGGAGGACAAGGCTTCCTGGGCGGTAGGGACAGCACACACCATGCCCTGGGGGTGGGACGGGGGAGCCGTCCCCATGGCCAGCGGTGGGGAGGCAGCCCGAGAACTGGGCTTGCACTGAGCTGTGGACGGCGTGTGCAGGGGCATGAGCTGGTGCTGCTGGTGGAGAACCATAGAATCACAGAACGGTTTGGGCTGAAGGGACCTTAAAGC